ATGCATAAGATTAGTTTCAAACTCTGAGGAGTGTGTCTATGGTAGTACCACATATTGCTGTAATGAAAACACTTTATATCACTTTCTCCTTCCTCTATTAGCAAACTTAACTGAGACCTCTTACCAAAATGGGACCACTAATTACAAAAAACCCAAGCAAAAACTCTTTAGGAATAACAATACAAAAACCCAAGGAAGCAAGTCTTCCCTTCCCACCCATCTCCCACAGCCTACTGAGAATCATCCATGGTTACTGCTTACAGAAGGCTATACAGTATACTGGAGAAAATGGAAAATATGAGAGTTAAGAATAAAATGTAGTATTCTGGATAGCTAACTGGAACAGGAAGACTTCAGATTGCAAAATTCTGTTTTAAGTGCCTCTGGTCCTAAACAAGCTCTACCTGAGAAATAATAAGCAATGCCTTATAAAAACACATTTATGAAAATATTATTTTTTTATATTTCAGGCAATCCTATACATGTTTACATTGAAGTATGTCTTATTGCAGTAGATCTGCTTACAGATAAATGTGTATAGGATTGCAGCCTTAATATGCTGATATTTTCTTTTACCTAAATGCTAACATTTTCCTACTAAGAGGCTGTATTCACCTGTGTCTGAATTTTTCAAATTATACTTAATATTCACTGCAAGCGTAAGTAACAGAACAGGAATTCTATATAAACATGACAATTTGTGCTTGCTCCTTGAATACTGATAACCATTTTAATTCTAGTTTATTTTTCTGAAACAGCAACTGGATAATAAAGAACAATTATTTTCAAAATTTCCATCCATGGGGAATGCTGTTTAAATGGATTTGTCTCTAAAGAAACCTTATACATAGAGAATTTCAAGGGGTCTTCTCAACAAGGACTGTCAGTGCTGACTGCAAAAAACTAGTTGATCAGTAAATGGTGGCAAGGATTTTCTGTATCTTTTTGTGGCTGCATAGTGATCAGCCCAGATTTAGTCATCCTTTATTGAGCTTGATTTATGGAGGTTACTAACCATGTCATAAATTATTTGTAACTAATTTCTAAATGGAATTAAGAATTTGGGTTATCAATCTAAAAACTCTAAATGACTTGGGGCTTTGCTACTGGAAAAATTATTTTATTTTTTGCTAAACACTTGATAGCTTTTTAAGGTAAGCTGTTCCATGCTCTGGCATGTCCCATTTGACTGCAGAGGCACTGATCTAAGAAATATGCAGGAACATTGTCTCAGTAACAACACTCTCTATATACAACACCCTTTGCCAAGAAATTAGGTCATCTTGTTCTTACTTCTATTCCATCAACTAGAAATTTCAACCAATGCTTTACTCTATTAATATTACTGACTGCTAGATTCCCCCCCCCCAGTTTTATCTTTGCTGCTTTTAGTACATTGTAACATTTGTAATGATTGATTACTGTTTTTAATGGTTTTTATGTTTTGCAAATCATGAGAGCGATTCCTTTACAGAGGAAAAAAGTAGAGACTAAATATTTTAAATATATAAGTAACACTACACATCCAATACTCCAGAAATTGTGTGCTATGGGAGGTGAGATATATATTGATCAAATGGATTTTCAGATAAAATTGTCTGTTGCTGTTGATCTTCTAATTAGGAATCTTTAACATTTTCCAATAAAATTCCAGAACTCCTACTGACAGAATTAAAACAAAACAAGCAGTATAAAGAAATAATGCTCACTGACTTCAAGACATGTAACATTTAACATAACACGAGTGTCTATTTTTGCTGAACGAGTTCCAGGTTGTGTCTCCTGTAACAGAACAAATGGCAATCTGTGGCTCTCCAGATGTTGCTGATTTGCAATCATAGCATCCTTCACTACTGGGCATGCTGGCTAGGGCTGCTAAGAGTTGGTTCAACTACATTTGGAAAGATAAACATTGCTCATGCCATTATAATGGGCACCAGTTTCAGAAGGACAGAGACTGAAACCAGCCAGCAGGTGATGGCCTTGTCCAAATGGATAGTTTACATATGTTTTGATATAGTTACACATGAAGATATCTGCTCTTAATTCAGTTATATAAAACCAGTTGTGGACTGGGTCCTAAAATAGAAGTAAATCCTTGTTTATGTAGGAAAATATTTATTTCCTAGCACTACTATTTTAGTATATTTTTTTTTCTGAACCTCTTTTCTCATATTACTTAATCCCTTAATAATATATGTATAATTACTACATTGTGACACCTATTTATTTACTGCAAAGGGTAAATATTAAGCACTATTATTTAAATTTCTATATCCCCACACAATTCTTGTAGAAATTTCAAAAAGCAAATAAACATCTTTATTGTTGACAAAAATCAGAATATACATTTGAGGAAGTGTGTAATCCTTAGAATAAGCTGCATTTCCTGCATATTTTCACTTAGTGAATTTTAATTTCCCAATAAAAATTAAAAGAACATCCAACTGAATATGAAAAGCATTGTTATGGCACAACAGTCCTTGCAGCGTAGTTTGCAACTACAAATGCCACTCTTCATTTTTAGCCTATAGTTCAATGAGAAACACAAAGTTGAATATAGTTGCTTCTGCTTATTTTAACAATTTTCGATATTTAGAGATGAATAGCCATTTTAGCAACTGAGCAATTTTTTAAAAAGTATGAATTCATACATTTTGTGAAGATATTGCAATATCAGCCTATGTACCATCTAATCACCAAATTGCTATCACAATGTATACCTATAGGGCAGTCTGTCCTACCTAGGCACTTGAATTCAACTTCCTGAATTCTCAGCTTTTAGCTATGGTGATTCTGGGAGTTCCAGTTTGGAAGGGCAATGCTTTGTGGGGAAGGTTGGCTTATGGCAACAATGCACTCACAACAGCTGCTAATCTCAAACTGCTTTGTTGTAGAAAGAGTGTAGACCAGTATTTCTCAACCTTGGCAACTTTAAGCTGTGTGGACTTCAACCCTGAGAATTTCCCAGCCAGCCATGCAGGCTGGGGAATTATGGCAGTTGAAGACCACACAGCTTAGAGATGCCAAGATTGAGAAACACCAGTGTAGACTATCCCAACTACATCTGCAATATGCTGCAAAACTGCTGGAAAAGAATGGCTGTGGGAGAAATATGTGACATGCAAGCAAGATTATGGAACAGTAAATCTGCATACCTTATAAAAGCATGTTGAAACACAGTGGGTACTTAATGCCTTAAATTCTTGGACTCAAATGCTTAAATTGGGTGGACTTACATCCCAAACATTGATAAGCACTGATTTTATTCTACCAAGTGAAACAGGTACAATGAATCTTGTGCCACTATATATATGTCTGTGAAACTGGGACTAAAGCTAGTCTTTCCAATTAGAGCTGTTCATTCTGTACACTATTTTCTAAAGAAGGTCTACCAATAGACAACTTCTTTGATAACAGGAGACCTGGAATTAGTTAACATAATTTCATATTATGAATGTGAACCCATGGATTAGAGCAAGTCAAATGTTTTAAATACTTGGGCACAGTATTTCAGGCCTCTAGGAAATTAACAGCCTAGGTAAACTATGCCACCTTCTACTGCCTAAAACAGCACACTAGCAATAACTAAATTTTATAGACAACAGGGGCAAATTACATTCCAGCAGTAATCAAACTGTTTATGGCTAAAACAGTTGCCCATCTATTATATGGGATACAACTTGGTCCATATACAAACGTAAGGGCTTATGAAACCATTCAACTGAATTTCCTTAGGACTTTGTTGGGTACTCCAGAATGTACCCCTAATGCAGTCTTGAGGCTTGAAGCTAACGTGCCAAATATTAAGGCCCAGGCCTGGACTAGGATTCTAATCTCAGGACTCAGAATCACATTTGACCCTATAGGCCTGATGCCTCTGCTGTTGTCAAACACCTACCAATCTCATTGGCACCATACCTATATAGAAGAACTTTGCAGTCTTGGCCTCTCTGCTGAATATTTAGGCCAATTAACCATTGAGAAGGCCAAATCGATAGTAAAAGAAAGAATCAGAGACACTGATTGCCAAAATGATATCACCAGTGCTCCTGAATTCTATCACCAAATGTTAGATAGCCACAAGCCCCCTACTACAGGGTATCTATACAATCTAACTCTAAGCAAATATAGATCGGCCTTTTCCAGAGCCAGCTTGATGCCCTCCCTTCAGCACTGCTGGCAGGAAGATTTCATGGGACTCCTTATTTACAGAGACTTTGCCCTTGTGGATCCGAGGAGGTAGAAACTCTTGCCCATGTCCTCATATGGTATCCTCTTTATGATGCCCCAAGACGTGCTTTGTTCTCCCCAATCATCTCTAAATTTGAGGGTCATACTAATAAATTTTATGCTTATTACTAACTCTACATTCACATACCAGGTGGCCAAATATCTTCATCAAGTCATGCAATTGGGCAAAACTTTTAATTAGGTATGTTGTTTTATTATCTTATTGTTTTCTTTTTTTCTTTGATAATGAATTGCTGTACCAAACTATTTCTCTTCTCCTACTGTAAAAGCTGGTCAAAGACTGTAATAAAGACATTTGAATATTTGATTTCACATGAATTGTGACAATAATGTAGAAGTAAAGAATGCCAAAACCTACACTGATATGCCCTCTAGTTTATTTTATGCTAGTAATACTGATTCTAAGATCAGGAAAAAAAAGAAAGCACTCTTATGATGATAAATGATTCAAAGGCAATTCAAAAAGGCGAATAAAATACAGTAACGCTTGAAAATGTCAACTGGAGATTTGTTTACACTGTAGAGCATCTAACACATTCAAGTGAAACATATTCTCTATATAAAACTAAAAGCGCCAGTGTTCATCTTAAAATTCACAGAAAAACAATACTGACGGAATCACAAATTATTTATTACTGAATACTGGCCATTTGCCACTACTTTCTTATGTTTCTGTCACCAAAATTACTGTGGCATTTCTAATATTGCTTAGTCATCAGAATGAAATTAAAAATACAGAACTGTACCTTAGTATCGTGCCGTACCGCTGAAACCGGAGTGACTTCCTCTGCTTTCTTTTTTATCTGTTCATCATCTTTCTCTTCTTCTGCTTTCTTCTCTGGAGTCACAGTGCTTATCAAGTTGGTTTGGGAGATGCCCTTTGTTGTCGCGTACTGGCCAGTACCAACCTCTGCAGCAGACATAGAATCCTTCATGTACATGTCATGGCTTTCATTCACTGATGCTAAAAGCAAATGCAATTCGAAGAGGTGAAATCTTAAACAGATGCTTCATTAAACTAAGTAAAGCTACATTATGGATTAATTATTTAATCCTGTGCAGGTCTACCTAAAAGTAAATCTCATTAAATTCAATGGGATTTATGTCCAGGCAAGTGAGCACAGGCCTACAGCATAAAGCAGTTTGCCAGTAAAATGGAAGCATCATGTTTCTAAAACATGCAGAAACATAAATGCTAAATACCTTTACAAACCGATAAAATTAATATGCATGTATGTATATACATATACATATATTATATTAAGGTCTGATATATATTCACATGCATGCAGATGCTTTTTAACACAGAATCTTCTTTCCTAAAGTTAGCTCCTAGAATAGATAGCACCAAAATAATGAAATTATCTGAGCACACTACAGTACCCTTGCATAAAAGAACCTAAGTGATGATACAGATGATTAATATGTACAGCTGGAAAGTACTTTCTTAAAAAAATTAATTAGCAATCAGAGGCAATATAAACAAAATTAACTCAAAATGCAAGGTATTATGAGCTTGAAATATAGTCCCAAAGACTATATCACTAATTCACTGGAAAGAAGAAAAAAAATTAAAGAATAGGTTAAAAAGTAATTTATAGAAAGAAAAAAAATGGCCATTTCACCAAGGCTTTATTATACCAACTTGAAACACACTAATATGCAAGGCATACATTTGGGCTATACAAAGCAAAGGAAAGAGATTAACGATTAGAAAACAGGTGCTTCATATGCACTCCCAGGTGTTGCAAAGTACTTCTTCCAAATGCTTTGCACATATAAATACAGCAATATTATTTTCTAATCAAATACCGACTTGTACATTTTTCCCCCAAAGATTCAAATACTGTATGAATCATTCCCTCTTGCATAAAAACATCAGCCTCCCAAACTCAGCTGCATTTTCTTCAAGGTTGTACACTTATGGTTAAAACAGTTGAAAATTATTTGTATAATTAAGCCCTTGTATGACTAGAGCAGTTTCTCAACCTGCGGAATTCTGGGAGTTGAAGTCCACACATCAAGTTGATACAGTTGACAAACTCTGGACTAGATTACTAATGGGTATTTGGTTGGGTTGAAAAGTTACATTGTGACATGGGAAAGTCCCTTTAAATCTCTGTCCCTGCTGTGAACTTGATTAGAAATGGATCCCAATGCAATCTTCTTCAAAGCAATCATGCCCCTCCTCATTTCAGTCAAGAAAAGAGGGTGGGCTGCTAGTTGACCTTATTTCCTTTTAGGTTGTAGTCCAGCTGTCAGCCCTTCAAGGTAGACCAGACTTGGACACCAAAGTTAGGAATACTAAAACTACTGTTATTGCAGGGTACAGTAACAGAATCTTGCAAATCTGAATGTGCTTCCCCCCACACTGCCTTTATCCTAAAGTGAAGTAGTGTGGGTCAAGTCTGAGATGTTTTCTCAAATTACATTCCTGCTTTGAACTCAGATCTCTCTTATCTGATCGTTTTCTTGGCTGCAGCTCTTCCTCCTATTCCTAATGGTTAATCTCATAGCCCATTACATCAGCCAAGGAAATCAAGGTGACTGTGACAGAGAGTTGTCCAACTTTAAAGTCTTGTTATAAAATGTGAGATCAATTGTTAAAACATCTATTAGCTACTAACATCTCCCAGCTCGGTCCACCAGAATCCTCTATGTTGTATTAGGCTAGGCCTGGAGGGCTGGGAATATGGCCACAGTCTACAGGATTCCCCCCCCCCCTTTTACTGTAATGTTATAAATCATGATACATTGTACTATTTCAATGCAGTAAAGTTTATATAAAACAGGCAGTCCTCAGGTTATGACCATTTGTTCAGCGACTGTTCAAAGTTATGGCCGTTGCAGTGCCCCTGCAGTCACGAGAACAAAATTTGGCTACCTGGCAACCAGCCCACACTTACGACCAGTTGCAACATCCCGTGACCACAGAATCGTTATTTGCAACCATCCCTGCTGGCTTCCCCTAAGCAAAGTCAATGGAAGCCAGCAAAGAAGATCGCAAGTCGCTGGGGTAGGTCTACCCCCCAGGCCTTTCTTCGTTAGCACTGCGCCCTCCCTCCCCTTCACTTGCACATACCCCACAACCTCTTTCCTTGGCCTCCCTGCAACTGCACACCCCCATGCCCTTTCCACAGCCTCATTGTGATCACACGCACTGCATCCCCTTTTTCCTTGGCCTCCCTGCAATCGCACACATGCACGCACGTACCCCACACCTTCTTTCCACAACCTCCCTGGGATCGCACACCCGCATGCATGTGCCCTGTGCCCTCCTTCCATGGCCTCCCTGCGATCACATGCACTCTGCACCCTCTTTCATTGGCCTCCTTGTGATCGCATACAAGCACGCACGTACCCTATGCCTTCTTTCCACAGCCTCCCTGCCATTGCATGCACCCGCTGCCCTGTCCTCAGCATCCCTGCGATTGTACACCTGCATGCACATACCCCGTGCTCTCTTTCCACAGCCTCCCTGAGATCACATGCACCTGCAACAGCTCCCTGAGATCACATGCACCTTTCAACAGCTTCCTTTCGATCACAGGCACATACACATGTACCCTGCGCCCTCTTTCCTCAGCCTCCCTGCACTCGCACACCCACCCACCTTGCACCCTCTTTTCCCAGCCTCCCTGCAATGGCATACACTCCACGCCCTCATTCCCTGGCCTTCCTGAGCTTGCGCTATGCCAAGCACCCCCTCCCCCCTACAGCACCTTCGTAGTCCTTACTTGGGACTCCCTCCGCTTTCCACCTAATAACCCAGGTATCTTGGGTTACAACAACCAGGACTGCCTGGATTGCCATCACTAAGTGATGTGGTCACATGATGTCATACTTTATGACCGCATTGCTTAGCAACAGCAATCCCAGTCCCGATTGCAGTCGTAACTCAAGGACTACCTGTATGCTTAAAATTAACGTTCTATTATTTAAAAAGCTCTACGCTCTCTCCCCCTTCAACACTGAAAATAAAATATTTTGAAAATAAAAATAAAAAAGTAGAAGTATTGAAAATAAAAAAAGTAGAAGTTCTATTAGTATTAATTGCCATTTAAGATGCCAGTGTTACAAGCATACGATTATTTAACTTTTCATCCAAAACTGAATATAAGATAAAAAAAGAACCACTGCAATTCACATCAAAGTATTAGTTATGTAACAATAGTTTGTCCTGAACTAATTATTTAAGATCTCCACTGTATTGTTATTTTATGTGTGTGTGTGTGTGTGTGTGTGTGTGGATGGATGGATGGATGGATGGA